CCCCCCCCCCCCCGACCAGCAGATCATTTCAGTAAAGCCAATGACACCTTCCCCACCCATTTTCAAGCCTCCTTTCTCTCAACCTTTGAGAAAAAGGTTGCGTTTTTCTTCATCTCTTTCTGTGGAGGTTTTTTTGGTAGGAATACGATCCATCAAACCTAGGACTGGGTGAGAATTTGTCATCCCTGGCAGAGTGCCGTTGGAAGTGGCTCGTGAACTGCCCTAGCACCTTAGGGGGAAATCGTGGCCCTACGGGAATGGCTTTTACCATTGACTTGAAGATAGCCTGGATGGAGCTGAGATTTCATCCCGTTATTTTTTTTTAATAAATCAATCCTAGATTAACAGTTTTGTTCCCCTGCAGCAGGCTTCAACTGCACTCTTAAAATCAGGAAGTGAGGGTTGGAAGGGACCTCAAGAGTCATGTAGTCCGGCGTTTCTCAACCTGCAGGTGACAACCCAAAAGTGGATTGCAAGAATATATGAAAGGGTTGCAGACAACCTTTAAAAATGGATCCAACAACTTTTAAAGTGGTTTGTCCTTTAAAGGAGAAAAACACAGAAAACCATGGGGTTTCCATTGCAAGCTGGCAGTTACAGCCTGCAAGGGGTTGCTTGGCCCCCCCTGCCCCACACACACCCAGGAGTCAGGTGGGGAGTGAGGGGTGCCAGCAGGGCGAGGGGGCTGTTTCCTACTTAAACTATTTACTGGATCAGGACTGGCCGTCAATGGTCCTGGTCCAAAAAGGCCAAGTAACTATTATAAATATTTTTATTCGCTGGAAGTAAATGCACTTACAAAACAAAACCTGAACCACTACATTCAGTAAAAATGCCTTTCCAACTTGTAAAAAAAAAAAAATTCTTATTTTTATTTTATAAAAACACAAGCTTATTGAGCCAAATCCAGTGCTATAGGTAGGTGTGCCACTTACACATCTACTTCTCATGAGGGCTCTTCCAGCCCTTTTTACCCTATGATCCTACTAAAGTTTGGGTTAGCTCCACTTCTGGAACAGCCTAGGGAAATATAGGGTTACTCTTTTTCCCCTTTTCCAGTTGCCTCTGTAAATCCTTACAGGAATGACAGTCTAACTTGTCTATAGCGTTTCCCTACTGTAGTCTGTTTCTCTCTGCCCTGCATAGAAAGCCTTGTACAGGAACAGAGGCAAGTTCAGGACAAGTTCAGCATTAGGGGTATTGCTAGTGATCCTTACCACCTTGCCTTTCTTCTCCATTGCTCTTCTAGTTGGTACACAGAGGCTGTGGTCCAACAAGGAGTGTGTCATACTAGGTATTAATGGGAGCAGTTAAAATCCTTGCTGTTTACTTCCTTGGGTTGTCCTTAGAGCACAGGCAGCACATGAAATAAAGAGTGTATCTGACAACTCCTGGCTGTGTATTTGCTCTTCGGGGTGAAATTAAATAAAAGTTCTGCTGCAGTATGTAATAATTATTCATTTTGTAAAAATATAATGCACAAAGTGACTTACTAAAAGCTTGTGACTTTAGCTTCACAAAGCATCCATTAGTATTCGGTTAATGGGATATTAGATTTACCCCACCTAGGGCTAGAGATCTATAGACTAATTAGACTGAAAGTGCAACATGTAGCAAGCAACAACTTTCAGACAAAAACAACGTTTATGTAGACCTACACAAAACAAGAGCTAATGGTTCCCATTGCTTTTCAGAAGTAAACAGTGAATGATATTCTAGTTAAAGTGCTGGAATTAGTGCCCAGTAGTGCTACCTTACAGATACCCTTACATCCTATGTGGAGATCATTATTGATTTAGAAGTTAACTGACTTGTTATTTATTAAATGTTCATACCTGCAAAGTAGGAAGATATAAAGGAACGGGCAGTTAATGCTCCTTGTTTCATTTTCATACATATTAGCAAAACTAAGATTTGTTAGATGGGAGAAAGCACCTTCTGAATCACTGTCTAACCAAATACGTTTCAGCAAGCTTGGATCCAGAAGCAGGAAAGAAACCAAAGCACCCTGGCAGTGTTCTTATATTAGCTCTTCCTACTAGTTGGTGTGAGAATATGCCAGGGAGACTTGCTGACAGTTTTTCAGTGACTTATGGAGGCAGGTCCAACTAATTAGATTCTCCAAGAAAATTAATAGACTTCAAGTAGGCTTTGTTAATGTTGGCATAGGCAGAGGAATCATAATTATCTTGATTCCAGTCAATGGACCTTGTACCACCTACTTTAACAGCCAGAAGATCAGGCAGGATGTTAACTGCAGAAACCTTAGTCGATATTGTAGAGCTGTGATTCTTCAACAAGGTGCTGTGGTACCCTAGAGTACCTTGAAATCCTTTGGGGGATGACATGCAATTTTAGCAGTTAGATGTGCAAACTTGATTCATAAAATAAACCCAGAGATTTCAAAAAGGACTCCATGCTATTAACAACAGTTTGACCTGTTGTGGTCTTGCTGAGTTCTTTGCCATGGAAGTACAGTATTGCTTTCTCTATCAGCAGTCCAGAAATGGGTGAAAACGAAGAGCTGGTGCTTTCCAAGGGGTAGCTAGATTGCAATGGTGGAGGTTGGGATGTTGAGTCTAAAAAAGCTTGATGTGGGGTAAATATATAGCCAGGTATCTTTAAATACTATTTAAGTATTCCTCGTATCCCAGAAGTATTTTGCTGCTTCATTTAAAAATAATTATCAGGTGTTGCAAGCAAGTATTTTCATTCCCTACTAATTTTTGTAGAATTTGTGATAGTGAGAACTGAGATTTGATTCAGCTACTATTTGTATTATGCAAATTAATGAAGTATAGGACAAATATGCACAATTACATAATGCTTACTATTTCTTTGAATTATGCCACTTCATAAAATAAAATATGAATAACAGCTTTTTAAATCTAATGTGATGAGAAGAGAGGATTTTCCCCCACCACTTCAAAATTGTTTATTTTTCTGTTACTGAAATCTTCGGTAGTCAACACCATCCTTTGTTCAAACCTTCCAAGTGATAACCCTAAAACTTCGTATATCTTAGTCTTCCTGTACAAGCCTGGAACAAAAATGCTGCCTTCTTTACTTTTTGAAGTCTTCTGTGTTTTGCTTTATAAAATGCTGTTTGTGTTTTCTTTGTTATGAAAAAATGCATAAAAGTTGTGTTAGGTGCTCAGCAGGACATAAAATGTCATGGATCCATTGGCTTCAGCTTGTGTATGTTGTTATAGCTCAGTTAAAAATGTGACCCAAAGGTCTTGCTCTTTATGATCCCATTAACTTTACTGGGACTTGGATTGGTCCTTTAAATCCAATCTATTAACAATGCTGTGGCACCTAACAAAACTCTGAGAATCTGGGCCTTGATGTTTGTAGCTTTTTTGTTTTGTTTTGGTATCCCTAATTTCACACTCAAGATTGTGTTGATTACTTACAAGACTTTTTTAAGGCAAAAAAATGCTATGTCAAGATAAAAATTAACCCTGCTACCACAAACACTTTCTAACCTAAGTAACTTTAGAGCTGAAGTTCCACTGAGTTCAGATAATAAGCTTTGGTCCTGTAAATGTTGAGTGTTCTGTCTCTAATCCAGCAAGATGTTTAAATTTAAGTACCTATGAAGCTCCCTGGAAATTAATGGGACTACTTACAGACTAAAATATATTGCTAGCTGGGGTAACAATACTCAGCAATACTCAATTATGTTTTTAACATAACTTTTAAAAATCCTAATGGTTGTTTAAAAAAAAGTACAATACATGTATATGTCAAATATATGCAATTTGAGAGAGGAGGCAGGGACAAGAGAAAAGTCTAGTTAATAATTTAGGTTGTAGATATTTTTTTTTAAAAGCAGCCATGATTGGCATATTAAAATGAATAAGACAAAAAGATGGATGTTTTCTCTGGTTGTACTCTGGCAAATACCTAATTCAGTGGTAGCTTGTTTAATGCAGGTCCTGATGCTGAAATTTACAGCCTTTGGGTAGATTACAGTACCTGTGCAGTGCAAAGTTATCATCTACCTCTGCCCTGCAAATTGGAGAAATGGGGCATCAGCATTTGCCACAATATTTTAGGATAGAAAAAAGGGATTACACATACACAAAATAGAGGCTAGTTCTCTGACAGTTTAAGAAATTTATAGACATTAATTTGACAATATTTCTAACATAAGTATATTTTTGGAAAATATTACGTATCTTAAGTAAAAATAATAAAATTAAGATTTTATTTCTTCTTATTTCTTAATGAGATTTCTCTCATATAGATTCATCATACTCTGAAATCTGAATCTTTCATACTGTGAAATATTTCCCCCCCTAAGATGAACATGGAAGAAATCCAGCAGTTACAATAATGGATTTGAGACACTTCTCCTACGGTCTGTATTTCATGTGGCAGCTAAATGTTTTATAAAATATGTGTATTAGTATATGTGCATGGCCCAGATAGTGCAATGCAGTGAACATTCATGGCTCCAGTTGATACTGTAACATGGTATAGAGATTTTTGGGCTTCAGCTGGAAAAATTGGACTCAAGGCAGAGTCATTAAAACTCCCATTGGTCTCTAAATAACCAAGCTGTCCTTCCCATGTGAATTGGATTAGCTGAATCAACTTTTTCTGGACCTTGAAGAAAGGTTCAGTGTAGTTTGTGGGTCACAGGTCTTTCTCCTTCATCTTGAACTGGACTGAGGAACAGTATTTATGTTTGTTCCTGAGCTGGTGACTCAGCCTTACAGAGTCAACAACATATAAAAACAGGCGAAGTCTGACTGATTGCTTCCTTTTACCCCTACAATAAAATCTTGCAAAAAATCCATGAACAGAATATTTAAAATGATATTATGATTTGTTGGAGCTGCTTACCTATTTGTTTACTGACAAATAGTATCAGAAAGTAAAATGTGATGAATAGGTCAGGCCATTTTTCACCCAGGACTAGTGTACAAACCATTACCACAGCAAAGCAAGGAAGAAATGGCATCTTGCCAAACGCACCATTATTCTTGAGGAGTTTCATGTTTTTCTCATGGGGAATGTGGTTTTCTCACATCAGGCAATTATTTTGAGTTGTTATAGGGAAAAATCCTCTGAAGTTCAGGCAGGGCAAGATGTCTTTTAACTAACATATTAAGAACAAAACCGTCAACTTTTTTTTTCATATTTCAGTAGGACTTGCACCTGCTTACATAAAGACAAAACTCATTTTACAATATTTTCTTGCTTAACAGAAGCTCTGGTGTGTGCCTCCCACTTCCTTAGCTTTAAAAACATTGCACAGTTGCAGTTGAAATGCTAATCTCATTGAGTGATACTATACACAGATTTAGAGGTAAAGTTGTGCAGGTTGCTGTGCTTCAACACTGAGCCCAGAAGAGTCAGTCTAGTTAGCAAACAACTCCCTGCAAAGTTAATTTGAAAAATGTCTCTTGATTTTTTTGTAATGTAGAATGCTTTGAATATCTATCTATATAATGATGTGTGTGCATAACATTCTACATTTCTATAATATATACATATGAAATTAATAGGAATTCCTATATGTTTGTGGGTTACACTCCTAAAACCCAAGATTCCACTTGTGGCTCAGTTACACTTTGGTCTGTGCACTCGGGCCTGCATAGGCAGGCATGCAAAGTGTGCGGGATTGTGACCCTTAATGCAGTTTTAGGAAGCACCTTTAAATGGAGCTCCAGCTTGACGAGCTAGAATAGGCTCTTCCTTTAATAAAACACAAAAAATTACTTTTTTTTTTATTCCCAGCCGAATCAGTTCCTCATCCATTAAAGAACCGTGTTCAGGGCCCTACAACCGGCAAACATCCTCCATCCTGCCTGGGGCTTCAGATGTTTCCAAATTTTGGCGGGTGACCTATGTGCAGCCCAAGGCTGGAGGCTTGGGGTTTGGATGCTCTCAAGTTTCACTAGCCCTCAGCCCTAGGGCTGTAGAAGCAAAGTAGGGAGGAGTTTCCTTTTTCCGTAAAGTGGGTGTAAAGCCAAGATCTTCCCACTGGAAATGAACATGGAAGGTTTAAGTAGGCATTACCTTAGCGAGCACTACCCCGTGCCAGAAAAGCGGTTATGCCCAGCGACTATTAGGAAAACCGCCTTAGTGGTCGGTGTTTCCCCAGCCAGGTAGCTGAGAACAGGCCCTTCCTGGTAAAAGGAGGACCATAACCGAGGCGGTGTCCCTATGAGCACGGCCCTCTACTGCTGGCCTTGTCCTGTCCGTTGCTGGCCTTTCCTCTATTCCTGTTGCTTTCGCCAGCGCCGCCAATATTTAGCCCTGCCTTGGCTGAGCGCTCTGGCAGGGTCATGGGCGCGGCGGCGGCGGGGCACCGGGATCTCCGGAGAGGCCGGGGGCTGCGTGTACCCGGAGAGACTACACGTCCCAGCATGCAACGCTCGGCTCGCCTTGCCTCGGCCCCCACACCCTGCACGCCGGGACGTGTAGTTCCGCCCCTTCCCATGGGCCGCCGCCTCGCCGCGCTCCACCGGGCCTCGCAGGGGGTGACGCCGGTGTCACGTGGCGCATTTGTTGACTTCCTGGAGGGGGCGCGGGGCCTGGCGGCCGGTAGCGCCTGCTCTGGGCTGGGCCCGGCGATGGCGGCCCCTGGGGGCCACCGCGGCGCCAGCTGCTGACGCCTCTCACCGGAGTGGAGCGGCCGCAGCTCGGCAGGTCTGGCCCGCGGGTGCGAGGGGTGGGAAGGGAAAGGAGGAGACGCCGGGGAGCGGGGGGTTCTGGCTGGGGCTGGGGTCAGGCCGCTGGCAGGGGTGCGACGGGCTCGGGGATGCGGCCGCAGAGCGGCGAGGAGCCTGGGCCGGAGCGCAGGCACCAGCGCTGCCGGCTCCGTGCTGCAGGGAAGAGCCAGCCCCGGCGGCGCACGAGCGGGGTGCGAGGCGCCCGGAGCCGGCAGTGTCCGGGCTGTCAGGGCCGCGGGCGTCGCGTTTGCCTGAGGCAGGGAAGAGGTGGCTGGGGCCGATGGCTCTTAGCCTCCAGAGACTGGAGGCGCCCTCGGAAAATGCCAGGGATTGGCTTTGACTCTTTTTTACTACAAGTACTAAAGCAAATGCTCTGTTGCAAATTACTGAGGAAGACCTGAATGCTTTTAACCCCATGGGTGCGACGGCTCTGGCTCTCTTGTGTGCATTGTGTTTGCACACCCAAGGGTGCTGCCATGGCAGGGCACTGGGATGCTAAAGCTTTTGCAGCTAAAGCATTTGTTTGGGTCCAGATCGCTTTAGGCACAGGCTGTAAGGTGATCTGCTGAGCCTGTAACAGACTTGGATGAAGCTGGGCAGCTCTGTAATGGTGCTAGGGAGAGAGTTGCTACCAGAATTGTGTCACTTATTTTCCTAGAAATAGATTAGAAAGCAAAAGCTGCTGATAGTGTGGAGTCCAGGTATTCATGGAGGTGATTTCTCTACCACCTAATTGCAGAACCAGTGAGAAGTGATATTATGGCTGTTAAAAAATAACCTTGCATTGAGTGGTAGCAAGTTGATAGTTTATGTTAAATACAAGGATATTTTTAAAAACGGTTGGTAACCATACCTTTTCTTTTTAAAAGGGCAGATGTTGAGTAGTTAAGGGAATATCATGTGCCCTTCAGCTCACTTAACTTCAGTAATGTTTTAAATGTGGAGGTCATCTGTGACTTTTTTTTTTTAGATTAAAGGTGGGGAAAAAAGCTGTCTGGAACTTTAATTTCAAGCAGTGGGAGAAAGCATGTAGGGAAGGGCTCCAGGTTTTAACTGAATGAATAATCATCTCAAAAATGGTGTTACAGATAAGCAGAGATCCTGTAAGGAGTGGAATAAAAAGCTGAGCAGAAAAGAAGGCTGATTTTTTACAACAGGAGAGTGAAAGGAAGGTTAGACTTGCCAGAAGTCAAATTGTTACATCTTTGCAAAAGAAACCAAATAGTAAAAGGTTCTTTAGCCTTAGAAGAAGAAAACAAAGAAAGAGGAAAATGTGCTAATATAAAGATGTTATATCAAGATCAGGGTCAAGATGAAAGATAATCTATTTATAGACCAAAAACTAAATGAATATGGGTGGTGATGTAGACGGGGAGAAAGGCGGGATGCACAATGATTATGGGACAGGAAACTGCCAGATCCACAGAGAAAGCAAAATTTAAAGAGTTTAATGTGTTTGAGTTCAGGTGCAAAGGTTAATCTCCATCCCAGGTCCTAAAGAACTAGCACATGACATTGCAATTCCAGTAGCGAGCATTTATAATAAATCTGACAAATTGGGGATGGTACCATATAACTGCTTTCAAATTGGTGGGGCCAAGTAGAGTGTACCTTAGGGTACTGAAGGAATTGGCTGAGATAATTTTGGAGCCTTCGGCTTTCCTCTGCAAGAACTCCTGAAGGTTGGGTGAGGTCCTGGATAATTGGAAAAGGTGTGCCTTTCTTTAACAAAGGGAAGAAGGAGGATCTCAGGAATTACAGCCAGTCTGACCTCAATGTCTGGAAAGATCATGGAGCAGGTCCTCAAGGAATTGATTGTGAAATACCTGCAGGAGAACAGGGTGATCAGGAATAACTAACATGAGTTTCCCCCAAAGCAAGTCATGCCTGACCAACCTCATTTCCTTTCGTTATGGTGACAAGTTCTGTAGATTGGGGGAGAGCAGTGGATGAAATACTTAGACTTCAGCAAGACTTCTGACACTCAGTCTCATTAAGAAACTAAGGAAATATAGACTAGATAAAAGTACTGTAAGATGAATATATAACTAACTGGTTGGATCATTTTGCTCAAAGAGTGGGCATCAATGGTTCATTGTCTAGCTGGGAGGAGATATATCAAGTGGGGTTTCCCAGGGTGTGTCCTGTGTCTGCTATTGTTTAATATCATCATTAATGATCTAGATTAATTGGGCCAGATGAGCAGTGCCATATCCATCCATGGGCTGGATCCAGCCATGCAGAGTAGGGGCACAGGGCAGCCCAGCCAAAACCCAGCCCCATGGAGAAAAATGGGGTGTGGCTGGGATATGACCAGCAGTGCAGGCCTTGGGGTTTGGGAATTTGGTGGGAGGAAGGGTGACTGCATCAATGACCATCACTCCTCTGCTGCCACATTTCTTACTCCATGAGGGCCAGACGTGATGGCTCCATGGGCTGCATTTGGCCGGTGAGCCAGAGGTTGGGAACCACAGATCTAGGTGATGGGACTGAGTACGCATTTAGCAAGTTTATGGATAACACTAAACTGGGTGGAGTTGCAGACACTCCAGAGAACAGGGCTAGAATCTCAAATGACATTTATAAGTGGAAGAAATAATCTGAAATCAACCAGATGAAATTCACAGGGACAAGTGCCTAGCCCTGCAGTTGGGATGGAATGTGTGCATGCAGAAATATAGACTGGGGAATGACTAGCTAGGCTTCAGTACTGCAAACGAGGATCTGGGGGTTACAGTAGACCATAAGCTGAATATGGGGCAACAGTGTACTGTTGTTGCAAAACAGGCCAACAGCAGCGTCACTTGCAGATAAAGGGAAATGATTCTTCTGCTCTCCTCAGCGCTGGTCGGGGTTCACTTGGAGTACTGTGCCCAGTTTTGGGCCCCACACTTTGAGAAGGATATGGACAATTCGGAAAGAGTCCAATGCAGGGTGACAAAAATGATTAGGAGCCTGGAAGGCAAGACTTAAGAGGAAAGGCTGAAGGAACTGGGGTTTAGTTTGGAGAAGAGAAGTCTGAGGAGGGGATTTGATAACTGTCTTCAAATACCTGATGGGTGATTTATAGAAAGAATGAGATGAACTTTCTGCTGTAACCATAGGGGTAAGACAGTTTGAGCAATGACCTCAAACTGTAGAAGATGAAAAGCATCTGATATAAGGTCATGTGAGAAATTAATTATTGGTTAGAATGGGGTTTGGTAGAAGAACTGTTAGGTGAATAAGGAGCTGACTAGAAAAGGAGATCATGGCCTGCTGAAAAAAGCATATTCAGGAATCAAATTTGAGACTGGTATTACTTAATATAAGTATTGTAATGAAATTTTGCTGATGTTACAGAATTGAGACAGATATGAGAGAGGAAGGACCTTGAGGACTAGAGTACTATAAATGAAATGTGACAGAACAAAGTGGGAATTTGCGTATGTATGTAGTGATTGGCAGCAAAGTTTTCTGCTGTGAATTGGGAGCTTGTCAGCTGGAACTGACAGAGGGAGAGACAGACCTGGGTGTGTTAGTTGATCACAATGTAATCATGACCCACAAGTGCAATGCAGCTCTTGAAGAGGTAAAAACTAGGGTAGATCATGCAAGGTATTTCTAGTAGAGGTAGGAAAGGAATTATTTTTTTATGAGATGCTGTTATTACCTTATATGGCAGTACCTTGGACAATTCTAGTTCCGTCCACTCCAGAAAGATGAATTCAAACTGGAATGGGCCATGGAAGGGCTTTTAGCATAATCAGGAGAATGCAGTGCCAGTCTTATTTAGCAAAATGAAGGCTGAGAGAGAAAGGAGATGTGATTATTGTCTGAAGCACCTCACCTAAGCTCTTTTTTAGTTTCCTTATCTGTAAAATGTTTATTTTACTTAAAAATACTCGCATGTTCTTGTTGACTAATATCTGTGAAACTGTTTGAAAAAGAACACAAGGTAGATATTTTCTGTGAATTGTACATTATTCTGAAATTTGATATGAACTTAACATGCATTTGTGCCATGGCCAAAAAAATGTTTGGACTTTCCTGGTATGTGAATTAGTGCTATAAAAAAACTTCTGCTGGAAAAGCTAAGACAGTTTTTATTTGCAGACAAATTAGAAAAGTTAGAATAAATTCCCATTTCTTTTCTTATTTAGTCTGAAGAAGAGAAGACTTGTGGGGAGGGAAAAGAAGGGGCAGGAAAATAAAGCTTCAACTCCAGATGGGGTTGTTGGAAAGGAGACTAATAACTATTTTTCCTTTCCATTGGGGGCAGGACAAGAAGTGAAGAACTTAAATTACAACAAAAGAAGTTTTAGTTTGAAAGTTCAGAAGAACTTCCAAACTCTCTGAGTGGTTAATTATCTAGGGAGACTGTGGAATATCTGCCTCTGGCAGTTCTTATGTGAAGTTTACACAAAGGTGTGTCTGGGGTGTTTAGGCAGAAATTACCTTCTATTGAATGAACTGCTGTATTAGGTCCCTTCCAGCCCTGATTTAAATTTTTGTGGTTCTGTACAACAGTGTATTCAGCTTGAAGTGTTTGGTTCAAGTGCTTTCTACTCTTTCGCATTATGGACCACTCAACCGAGAAACTCTTTTGGGGTCTTAATTGTGTGCATCACCGCCTCATCCACTGGTTATCAACAGCTGTATAGCAGTTAGAGCAGTTGTTGACATGGGGAAATTGTCATGTTGTAGCTTGTTTCATTAAATGTAACCACTATACACAGTGAGTGGAAATTGTGGGTTGAATACATTCTCTAGTGACCTCCAGCAAGCGGTCTGTACACCGCCAAATGGTTCATGGACTGTGGTTTGAGAATAGTGACTAATACATGTACAATCACCAGGGCTTCTAGTTTTCTCTGTTTAAAAATCCCAGCTTTTCTAATTAAAACTCCAAAATTATCTCATTAAAACCCCCAAATCTGTGTTTTTTCCAAGATTGTGAAACGGCAGTATGTATATAGGTATCAGTTGAACACAATG